GTCAGTGCTAAACGTCGATGGAGCAAGCACACTCTTACAAGATGCAGAGCCAATTTTAAGAAATGGGGCTACAAAGTGGAGTCTGCGATATGCGAGTGCAGAGAAGAGCAAACCACAGACCACTTACTACAATGGAGTCTGAGCCCTGCCACGTGTACAACAGAGGACCTTCTCACAGTAACATCAGAGGCACTTCAAGTGGCCAGTTTCTGGTCAAAGGAAATTTAGTATCATGCCAAGTTTTTAATATTGTTGGTCGTTTTTCTATACAGTGGCACAGTGGGTTAAACCGTTGAGCTGCTAAACTTGTTGACCGAAAGGTTGCAGGTTCGAATCCTGAGACCTTTTGGTCAGTCCCAGCTTCTGCCAACTTTGCAGTTCGAAAACATGCAACGTGAATACATCAGTAGGTACCGCTCCGGCGGGAAGGTAACGGTGCTCCATGCAGTCATGCTGGCCACATGACCTTGGAGGTGTCTACGGACAACGCCGGCTCTTCGGCTTAGAAATGGAGATGAGCACCAACTCCCAGACATGACTGGACTTAATGTCAGAGGAAAACTTATCTTTTCCTACTATAACAGTATTCTCAATTCACTTTTGACATGATAAATAAATAATCCTTCTTGAAGAATACCATTCAGAGCCTGAGCTTCGTAATGTTCTTCTTCCCTTTGCAGCCACTCAAATGAACTTGTCTATGTTGGAGCAAATTCCAGATACAACCACTGGCCATGTAAACAAGTTTGAGCTGTATTCATCTCCCAATTGTTCTCATGATACGTTTTACTCTCAACGTGTCTCCCTAAAAGTCGAGAGACGTTGTACCCAGGAGAGTAAATGTCCCTTGGAAAAGTAAATTTTGAGCTAAAATTGAGCCAAATGTCTCTGCTGACTCAGTTCTTTTTTAATGGCTTCACCTGATTACAGCTTGTGTCAATATGTACTTAGCGCCTGGGAGACTCTGTGTGTCTTTCTCCCTTTTGATCTATAATTTCCAAGAACAGAAGGCTGAAATAGAGCGAACGGGGAGTAGGGAGACAAGTTAAACAAAACAAAAAAATGGTGAAGGTGAGGGGTAAAAAAACCTTTCTGCCACCTTCTTTTCTCCCTGAAGACTTTGTTATTGCCTTTGAATGTGCCATCCTTTTTCTCCAGTCGAACCAATATTTGGAAAGCTCTGAACAAATAAAAGCCACAAAAAGGAGGGCTCTAACCTCCTTCAGCTGCTTAGGAAGACCTGATTGACCAAGGTCTAAAATCAGAAAGTCCTAGCAGTTTGAACAGACAAAGGTCAATGTGTTTCAAAGTATTTTAAGCTACCCTGCTTCTTATGTATTCATATGTTGATAGTTAGTGGTAGCACATCGAGTCCATTTAAAATAACAACAATAATACTAGATAAAATTTGAAAAAAATGTTCTGTTCCTGGTTATTTCCTGTTTAGTTGTGAGATCCTTACATTAAAAGAAGTTGTTTTACTCCAGAAACTTGGTTTTGTGGCTTGGATGGGTTGAGACTGGATGATGAGAGATTCATTGGAAAACTATAGCAAAATGTGTTGCAGGATGTCCTTCCCGCAAAAACAAACTTTTTTGCAGTTTAATAAACTTTTCTCATGATTTTATGATAGAAACAATTAGGAAATGATGTTTATAACGGAGGAACAAACATTATGTTACATAGTGGTGTGGGGAGGGGAGTGTTCCTATTCGTTTTGTAAAAACACATCAGAATAGTAAGGACATTTTTATAAACTGCTGGTATCAGTGTCCTCTTCCTCTCAACTGGGCTGTTGGGTATAAAATGCCTTCCCATTGCCAGTATTTTGTCCAGTCTGAGACTGCATTGGGGAATATGAGAGGAGGCACCATCTCTTTCTTTGGGTGAATATAAAATTGGTGACACATGGTTTGAGTCCATATGGAAGGGATTGCAGAATTCTTAGCAGACTACTTGCTGAACATGAGCCAAGAGTGTAATGCTGCAGCTAAAGAGGCCAATGCGATTCAATACTGCATCAAGTGGAGCCTAGAGTCCAGATCAAGGTAAGTCATAGCCCCCCTCTCATCTGCTTTGGTCAGAGAAAGTAAGGTTGCTTACCTGTAACCATATTTCTTCGAGTGGTCAACTGTGAAATTCACAGCGGTGTGGATTTCACAGTGACCACGCTGAAGAAAGTAAGGTTGCTTACCTGTAACCATGTTTCTTCGAGTGGTCAACTGAAATTCACACTGGTGTGGATTTCACGGTGACCATGCTGAAGAATAATAATGATGATGGTGATGATGATGACACAATATGAGGATTTAAAGATCGAACTGCAAAGACTCTGGCACAAGCCTGTCAAGGTGGTCCCCCTGATGATCGGCACACTGGGTGCAGTGTCTAAAGATCTTGGCCTGCACTTAAACACAATTGGCGCTGACAAAATTACCATCTGCCAGCTGCAGAAGGACACCTTACTGGGATCTGCATGCATTATTCGCCGATACATTACACAGTCCTAGACACTTGGGAAGTATCCGACGTGTGATCCAATACAACAGCCAGCAGAGTGATCTTATCTGCTGTGGAATCATCTTGTTGTGTTTCTAATAATAATAATAATAATAATAATAATAATAATAATAATAATAATATATTTTCAAAGACCTCACAACCTTTGAGGTTGCCTGCCATAGATGCAGGTAAAATGTCAGGAGAGAATGCTGCTGGAACATGGCCATACAGTCTGGAAAACACACAATAACCCAATAATAATAATAATAATAACAATAATAATAATAATAATAATAATAATAATAATAATAATAATTTGTATTCCACCACCATCTCCCAGAAGGGATTCGAGGCGACTTACAGAACAAGCCATAGAAGTGCTATAAAACATATAAAATACAAATAAAGTACATTGATACTTATAACAATAAAGAACATCAATTAAACATAAAACCACACTTACAAAAAATAAAAACCTAAGCAAATACTCAATACAACATGGCATTAACTACTATTAAAATGGGCAATAGAACCAAAGTAAAACATCCCAGCAGCAGCCCATTTACAAGTGACATTTAAAGTGAGATAGTCAATAACAGTTTGATGGGTTAGACATTATCGAAGTCTTGCCTAAAAAGTTATGTTTTCAGTTCCTCCGGAATGATAGTAGTGTCCGGGCTTGCATAATTTCCCTGGGGAAGGGCATTCCAGAGCTGGGGGGCCACCATCGAGAAGGCCCTCTCCCTTGTCCCCATCAACAACGTTTGAGACAGATGCAGGACTCAGAGGAGGACCTCCCCAGCAGATCTTAGAGCACACACAGGTTCATGGGGGGGGGGGGGGGTGCAGTCACAAAGATAGGGACCCGAACCATGTAGGGCTAAGTAGATTATAACCTGCACTTTGAATTGGGACCGGAAACTTATCTGCAGCCAGTGGAGCTGCTTCAATAGGGGCTGCTTCAGGCATCAAGGATGAGTTCAGGAAGACAACCAGACTGCGGACCTGTGTCCTCAGGGGGAGTGTGACCCCGTCCAGCACAGGTTGCCACCCTATACCCCAATCGGCCTCATGACTGACCAGGTGGACCTCTGTCTTGTCTGGACTAAGCCTCAACTTGTTGGCCCTCATCCAGTCCATCACAGCTGCCAGGCACTGCTCCAGGATCTGGGAATCTTCCTTGGAATGGGATGGAAAGGAGTAGTAGAGTTGTATGTCATCTGTGTAGAGATGGCACCCAACTCCAAAACTCTGGATGACCTCACCCAGTGGTTTCATGTAGATGTTGAAGAGCATGGGGGAAATAATAGAACCTAGTGGGACCTCACAGGTCAATGGCCAGGAGTCTGAGCAAGTGTCCCCTAACATCATCATCTGGGTCTGATCCTCCAGGAAGGAGCGGAGCCACTGCAGAGCAGTGCCCCCAAGACCCATTCTGGAGAGCAGACCCAGAAGGATACCATGGTCAATGGTATCAAAAGCTGATGAGAGATCCAGGAGAACCAGCAGGGACACACTCCCCCTGTCTAGCTCTCTGTAGAGGTCATTCACCAAGGAGACCAAAGCACATGGCATAACCTCTGTCTGGTTCTGGGCTTCACAATCCTAGAACAATATTGACAATCTAGAACATGTCCAGAGAGGGGTGACTTAAAGAGTCAAAGGTTTGGAAACTACAGGAAACCAAGCCCTAATATGAGGAACGTCTGAGAGAGAGCTGGAGATGTATGGCTTGGAAGAAAGAAAGCCGAGAGAAGGTGACACGAGAGCCATGGATGAATATTGGGAAAGAAATCATACCGCTTTCTGAAGACACTTAGGACACAATGGAGCCATGGATTCAAATGGCAAGAAAAGAGATTCCAGCTCAATATGAGGAAGAAGGTCCTAGTGGTGACAGTTCTCTGATTGTAGAATACGCTGCCTTGGAATTGGTGGAATCTCCGTCTCTGGAGGTTTTTAAGCACAGGTCAACTGTTAGGAATGCTTGGAGTTGGGCTGGATGGCCCCTGGGGTGGTGCTTGTTGTTGTTGTTGTTGTTGTTGTTTTTGTTGTTGTTGTTGTTGTTATTGCAAAAGCTGGGTGCTCATCTGTTGGGGATGCTTTGATTGTGCCTTTCCTGCATGGCAATAGGGGGTTGGACTGGATGTTCCTTCCAACTGTATGATTCTATGAAAAGCAATCTTGCTTGCTCTGTGACCATGAATGCTTTGGGTCTATGCAAACAGGGGGAAGTGTTTGCCAACAACATCTGGAGCAAAACACCTTAGTTTACTTAGTCCGGCATCCCGTCTGCCAAAAGAACCCAATGCCTCTGGATATCCCACAAGGAAAGCTTGAGCACAACTTGCTTGGAGGCCTCTTAACCTTACCTGGCACCCATTCCTTGCCCGAAAGGGACGAGTTAAAGAGTAGCTACACAAACAGCTGGCTAAGCGTCAAGGTGGTTGCGGCTGCACTGCAATCGCTTCGGATGCAGGGAGGGAGAGGATTCGCATAGCAGAATTTGCCTGGAGTAGTTGCATTTAGATCACAACTTTCCGTGCTCTTTTCCTTTTTTGCGAGCGAGGAAAAAGGATGATTAAAGGTAAGAGCCTTTCTGTGCATTTTTGGGATATTTCTTTAGAACTAGGTGATACAAATCTGCACCTGGGCACAAATCAGATGTACTCAGGTTGCAAAAGGGCAGATATGTCGAATAAGGCAAGGCGTCAACATATTTGTCTCTTTCTGCACTTTTTCTGGGTTCGCTCTTGCCTTTCCCATAAAGCCTCTGACAGGAAAGATAAGGCTGGGAAAATTGACTTCTTTGGACAACTGTGACCCATTGGGAGGCTGAACTGATTGCTTTAGAGCAGGCATGGGCAATCTTCAGCCCTCCGGGTGTTTTGGACTTCTACTTCCACAATTCGGAACTGCCTCAGGCCCCTTCCTTTTCCCCCTCAGCCGCTTAAGCTGAGAGGGCTGAAATTTGCCCATACCTGAGCTATGCTGCAGAATAGATCCAGTTTAACTGCTTGGGTTCAATGCTATAGAGTCGTGGGGGCTATAGTTTTGCAAGATCTTGAGTCTTCTATGCTGGTGCCTTATCAAACTACAAATGCCAGCATCACAAAGCATTGATTTATAGCCATTAAATGAGAAATGAGGTCCCTCAAAGAGGAGTTCCTGGTGTAGCTTCCCCTTTTGCTTTGGCTCAGCACTAAGGTGACCGTTATGACGCAAATGTAATGCGCACCCTACTTTTGGCAAGGTCATTTAGCCCAAAAAGGTGAGTATTAGATTTGAATAAATAGGAGAAGTCTCCTCCAAAGACAAGGGAAATGGTTTTGCGATATGGTTTTGCCACTGGATGAGGAGCAGAAAACCGAGGCAACCTAGAGGTAACGTAAAAGGAAGAGCGACAGAGGCGAGAATGGAGGTATTTCTTCACCATTTCCCTTTCCTTCTAAAATGGCCAATTAAGATTAAATTTTGACATAACATAACCTGGAGCCCAAGATTCACCCCCACTCCCTTAAAAAGGTCTGGAAAAAAGGCCATCCCCAGTCCCCACTACTATTCCAACCTAACCACCTTCCCAGGTTGCATTTCCAGATGAGACTAGCACTTCCAGCAACCTAAGACGTGGCTCCCCCTTTGCCACAGTTAGGTTATGTTGGTGCATGGATAAAGGAAATGTGTAGAGCACTGTTTCTCAACCTGGGGGCCAAGACCCATTGGGGGGTTGTGAGGGGGGCGTCAGAGGGGTCACCAAAGACCACCAGAAAATACAGTATTTTATGTTGGTCATGGGTGTTTTGTGTGGGAAGTTCAGCCCAATTCTATCATTGGTGGGATTCAGAATGCTCTTTGATTGCAGGTGAACGATAAATCCCAGCAACTACAACTCCCAAATGTCAAGGTCTATTTTCCCCAAACTCCACCAGTGTTCGCATTTGGGCATATTGAGTATTTGTGCCAAGTTTGGTCCAGATCTATCATTGTTTGAGTCCACAGTGTTCTCTGGATGGAGGTGAACTACAACTCCCAAACTCATGTCAATGCCCACAAAACACTTCCAATATTTTATGTTAGTCATGGGAATTCTGTGTGCTATGTTTGGTTCAGTTCCATCGTTGGTGGAGTACAGAATTCTCATTGATTGTAGGCTAATTATAAATCCCAGCAACTACAACTCCCAAATGACAAAATCAATCCCCCCAAACCCCACCAGTATTCAAATTTGGGCGTATCAGGTATTTGTGCCAAATTTGGTCCAGTCAATGAAGATACATCCTGCATATCCGATGTTTATATTACAATTCATAACAGTAGAAAAATTACAGTTATGAAGTAGCAATGAAAATAATTTAATGGTTGGGGGTCATTACAACATGAGGAACTCTACTAGGGGTTGCGGCATTAGGAAGGTTGAGAACCACTGGTGTAGAGGTAAAACACTCGGAGGGGGAATGGGAGGTTCCAGTTGTGACTCTGCTGTAACCTTACATGTGACCTCACTTTCCGAGGCTCAGAGCCTCTATTACATATTGCACAGGCCTGGTGTAGATGCAGCCATGGTCTTCTGCACCATTAGTAAAGCATTACATTGAAAATTGCTTTAAACTGCATAATTCTACTTTTAGTTTACATTTAATGTGATAGCAGAAGCTCCATCAGAATGCATAGGTTTTTTTCGCCTTCAAATATGGATGCAGCATGTCCACAATCGCAGTGGGAAAAACTCTTGCACAACTTCCCATGCCTGATAGAGCCTGGCATTCAAAAGCATCAGGTGGGCTACCAGTTCCTTATGGCCAGCATGATCCATCTTTTCTTCTACAGATCTTTCTTATATTCCTTCAGGAACCTTTCCAACAGGGATAGCTCAACCTTTGCTGGGGAGTGTGAGCAAGGTGTGTCCAACAGCACAGTCCTGACCTGAGGAAATACAGTTCTTTGCCACTTTTGCCATCTCTCATTTGTTTGCTCTGCCCATGCTCCATCCTACAGCATCATGGGCCTGTAGTGCTTGGGATTTCCTATTAATAGATGCCTTAAAAAAGTTTAGTTAGGATTCCACTGGATGCAGACAGTGTTTTATCAAGCTTTGTAGTGTGTCCATTATATCATTTTATCGTTTGTTCACAGAAGTGTTATTGGTGCTGACCGTCATCTGTGCATTGGCGGCCAGGTCTCTGCAACCCGATGGAGAACCTGCCAGAGAACAGACGACTCCCGAAAGCCAGAAATGCCCTGTCCCATGCAGTTGTATCTATGAAGAATGGAACGATGAGCTGAGTGTCCAGTGCAGCCTGCAGAAACTCACAAAACTGCCTGAAAACATTCCCAGAGGAGTAAAGACGTTGTGGCTGGATGGCAATAATTTCACTTCCTTGTCCGCGCTTGCTTTCAGAAACCTCTCCAGCTTGGAATTCCTCAATCTGCAGGGCAGCCATTTGTCAAGTATTGAGCAACATACCTTCCATGGCTTGGAAGCATTGTATTCCTTGTTTCTCGAACGCAACCAGCTAAAGTTGTTGGCACCCAACATCTTCCTCCACCTGCAGAACTTGATTTCCCTACGGCTCAACAACAACCAGTTCAGCAAAATTGAAGAAGGTGTATTTGCTGGGCTTTCGAACCTCTGGTACTTGAATCTCGGATGGAACTCCTTGGTCATTCTCCCAGACAAAGTATTTCATGATCTGCCCAATCTAAGGGAGCTGGTTTTGGCTGGGAACAAACTGCACTATCTTCAGCATCAACTGTTCCTCAGTCTCAATGAGCTGAGAGAACTAGACTTGAGTGGGAATTCACTCAAGGGCATCAAAGGCAATATCTTTTCCAGGCTCCAAAAGCTGCAGAAGCTCTATCTGAATCAGAACCAGATCAATGCCATCGCCCCTCGGGCCTTTGTGGGTATGAAATCTCTAAGGTGGCTGGATCTCTCTCACAACCGTCTCACCACTTTATTTGAAGATACGTTCCTGGGCCTCTCCAGCCTGCGCGTCCTGCGTCTCTCCAGCAATTCCATTGTGGGCCTGGGCCCCAAAATCTTTAAAGACCTCCACTCCTTGGAGGAGCTGCAACTAGGACACAACATGATTCGGAATTTGTTGGAAAGAGGGTTTGACAAACTCAGTCAGCTGGACGTTCTTGCTCTCAACGACAATCAGATCGAAGAGATCCGAGTGGGAGCCTTCCTTGGGCTCTCTAAGGTGGCCGTTATGAATCTTTCTGGAAATTGCTTTAAGATTCTTGCAGATTTCACTTTCACAGGTCTTAACCAGCTCCACAGTCTTCACCTGGAAAACAGCTGCCTCAGTAGGATCAGGCCACTGATGTTTTCCAACCTTTCAAGCTTGCGCCGGCTCTTTTTGCGGCACAACACCATTTCCACAATCGAGGAGCACAGCCTGAATAACTTGCACGAACTCATTGACCTGGACCTCAGGCACAATTGCCTGATCCGACTCTCTCCTAATCAATTTGCAGGCCTCCAGAATTTAGAGTACCTTCTCCTTTCTTCAAACCAGTTGCTGGAAATCTCGCCTGAAGCCTTTGCCCCACTTCAGCGCCTCTCCTGGCTCGACCTCTCCAACAATGGTCTGGAAACACTGGAAAGCAATATCTTCAGCTCCTTTTCGAAACTGGGATATTTGAATGTGAGGAACAATTCGCTGAGAACATTCCCCTTGGGTTGGCTAAGCCCTTCACCAACACTCCTTCACCTTTGGTTGGAAGGCAACCATTGGCAGTGCAATTGCTCCCTGAAAGGACTAAGGGACTTTGCTTTGCAGCATCCCGATGTGGTCCCACGGTACGTACAGTCCATCACGGAAGGGGACGTCCCCGTATACACATACAACAACATCACTTGCACAAGCCCCGAAGAAGTGGCTGGGCTTGACCTGCGGGACGTCCAGGACTGGCATTTTGCAGAGTGCTAAACACTGGCACTTGCTACCATGCCTAATGATAATTATCTTCCTTTTGAATCATGAACCATTGATAAATGTGGCATATAAATGCCAAGAAGGCCTCATGTCATTAAAAGTAGCCATGCAAAACATCAGTCAAATTTCCTTCCTATGGACTTTATATTTTTACTATCCATTTGTGTTGGTGACGGAGCTTTTTTCTTGCACTCCTGAGGAGCACCCCAAAGCCACCTTTGGGTGGTTTGTTCAGAAAGTGAATGCCTGATGAAAAGGCTCTCTGGTGCTATATATATATAAATTACACAAATAGAAGGCTATGGAGAGGCCCAATTAGAACGCAGTCACTGCCAACCATCTATCTATTGAATCAACAGAAATGATCTATCTCAACAACTGATTGAATGTGCATTCTAATTGGGGCTAATCTAAGAGGACAGATTGTTTGTGTTGTTGTTCTAAAAGTTATTAATTTTGTCTCAGTCTCCCATATATACCCAGTTAGCATGGGCCATGATCGTGCTGGTAATAATAACAACAACAACAACAACAACTTTATTTATACTGGTTCAAATCTGGGGAGAGCAGGTTGAGCTCCCTCTGTCAGCTCCAGCTCCCCATGTGGAGATATGAAAGAAGCTTTCAACAAGAATGGTAAAACATTAACCATCCGGGCGTCCCTTGGGTAATGTCTTTGCAGACAGCCAATTCTCTCACACCAGAAGCGACTTGCAGTTTCTCAAGTTACTCCTGACACACACACAAAAATTATAACCTCTCCCCAAGGGACTTGGGGCGGCTTGGAACAATCAGCAGATACAAAAATAATATAAGCAATAAAGAACAATAACCAATTATCGCTACATAGAATTAAAACATACTAATGAAAACATTCATAAATTACAGTTTAAAAGCTATTTACTCTCTAAAACAATATAAATATAGACATCTTTCACCAGTCCATACCTGTCATACTCTCATAGTCAATTCCAATGCTGTCCGACAATTAAGTCACACTCTAGCCGTTATCAAAGGCTTGTTTAAGTAGCAAAGTTTTTAACTCCATCCTGAATGTTGAAAGAGTAGGTGCTTGTCTTATTTTCCTGGGGAGAGCATTCCAGAGTCAGGGGGCCACGACCGAGAAGGCCCTCTCCCTCCTCCCCACCAACCTTGCTTGTGAGAGAGGTGGGATTGAGAGGAGGGCCTCCCCAGCTGATCTTAAGGTCCAAGCAGGTTCATGGGGAGAGATGTGGTCACGTAAACAGGCAGAACCCAATCCATATAAGGCTTTGTAGGTAATAACCTGCACCTTGAATTGGGTCCGGAAGCAAATCAGCAGCCAATTGGTCTGCTTTAAGAGGTAGTATGTTCTCTACAACCTACCCCTGTAAGCAGTCTGGCTGCAGATTGAACTAATTCAATTTGCACTAATCGAGGCTTCCGGACCGTCTTCAAAGGCAGCCCCACATAGAGTGCATTACAATAATCCATATGAGATATGACTAAGGCATGGACCACCATGGCCAAGTTGGGCTTTTTGAGGTACAGCTGCAGCTGGGGCACAAGTTTTAATTGTGCCAAGGTCCTCAAGTGTCAGTGCTGAGTCCAGGAGGATCTCCAGACTGAGTCCAGGAGGGCCCCCAGACTGCGGACCTGTGTCCTGAGGGGAAGTGTAACCCCCGTCAAGCACAGGTTGCCACCCTACACCCTGATCAGTCCCATGACTAACAAGGAGGACCTCTTGTCTTGTCTGGATTAAGCTTCAGTTTGTTAGCCCTCATTCAGCTCGTCACACCTGGAATCATAGAGTTGGAAGAGATCTCATGGGCCATCCAGTCCAACCCCTTGCCAAGAAGGAGGAAAATTGTATTCAAAGCATCCCTGACAGATGGCCACCCAGCCTCTGTTTAAAAGCCTCTGTCACCTGTTAGGTTCAGAACTTGGGAGACTTCCTTGGCTTGCTGTGGAAATTAGTAATAGAGTTGTGTGTCATCTGTGTACAGATGACACCAAACTCCAAAACTCTGGATGACCTCACCCAGTGGTTTCATGTAGATGTTGAAAAGCATAGGGGATAAAATAGAGCCTTGAGGGATGCCACAGGCCAATGACCAGGGGTCTGAGTAGGCACCCCCCTGCACCACCATCTGGATCCAACCCTCCAGGAAGGAGACCCATCCCAGAGAGCCAGTCCAGGATACCTTGGTCGAAAGATTCTAGGAATGTAGTACAAACGGTACTGAAATGCTAAACCTAGATGCAAGTGGAAGTGTTCATTCATGCTGCTTCTGAGGACTGAAGAATGCTTTAATTCTAGAAGGGGAAAGCTGATATATTCCATCCTACACTAGCAGGAGTAGGAAATATATTGGGATTTCAGACTATATTTGGAAAGGAAAGCAAATCCTCCCTTCCCTGGAATCTTTCTGTTGCTAACAATGGAATCCTCAGTAGATCTACACAGAAGTAAATGTTCAGTTCCACAGACTTGGGCACATAAATCTGTGGAATTCCCAATACAGAATGATCATGTTGAAGTGACACAAGACTTATTAACTCATGAACTACATATTAAGTCCAAAGTGGTTTACTTATGAAATTGGCTGTTTGGACTACAGCACACATCTCTGGGAGAAGACGTTTATTTAGGACTAGCTTGAGTACCCAGCATTGCCAGGGTTATTAGAAGAAGTCATTTTTTAACTTTACAAAATGCATAAGGTTGTGGGTGTACTACAACTCACATGCCAGATTAACCCCCTGAAACTCTATCAATACTTAAAGTTTGTTTTATTGGGCAAATTTACTCCAGATATATAATTGGTGGGGTTGAGTATGCTTTCCAGCTGCAAGATGAATGACAACTCTCACCATAGTGAGTCAGTCCCATCAAATCCCTCCAGTACAGTGAGTTGGTCATGGGGGTTCTGTGTGCCAAGTTAGGTCCAGATCCATCACTGGTGGGGTTCGGACTTCTCTTTGATTGCATCAAATCCCAATACCTACAACTAACAAATGTCAAGGTAAATTCCACCCCAATCTACCAGTATTCAAATTTGGGCATATTGGGTATGCACGCCAAATTTGGCGCAGATCCATTGTTGTTTGCATCCACAGTGCTTTCTGGATGTAAGTGAACTATAATTCCTATAAATCAGGATGAATTCCCCTCAAAGCCCTCCTGTATTTTTTTGTTGATTGTGGGAGTTCTGTGTGCTAAGTTGGGTCCAGGGCCATTGTTGGTGGGGTCCAGAATGCTCTTTCATTGCAGTTGAACTATAAATCCCAGTATCTACAATGACTATAAATCAAGGTGAATTCCCCCCCCCCCAAAAAACCTCTCCAGTAATTTTTTTTGTCATGGGGGTTCTATGTGCCAAATGTGGTCCAGGTCCATTATCAGTGGGGATCCCAGTGCTCTGATTTGATGTAGGGTGAACTACAACTTCCATCATGTGGAGTCTATCCCCCAAACTCCTCCAGTATGTTTAGTTACTGCTCAGTTCTGCTCTGTTTGTTATGCAGACAGAGTGGGAAAGGGTTAAAGGAGAGGCAGTGGGTGAGATCGTGCAAATTCCACACCAATGGAGAGAGTAAGAAACACTGGGATGTTTGCAGTGGGGGAAACATAAAATCTAGGATGAAATTGTCCCCGAATGAAAGCATTCCTTGGATGGTGGGCAATAGAGTTTGGGGAGGACATTGGCAGGGGTTGGGCTACCTTTTAATGGTGTTTGCTATAACCTGTAATGTCATTGGAGGGAGTGCTTTTGGTGGCTCCTCAGCACTGTGGATTATAGCTGTTTATGGAAGCAGGGGCCTGTCTGTGGAAGTGGGCACCCCAGCCACATACACACATACATATTTTCACTTTTATTATGTGTATAGATATCATTTTACTCCATGGGCCCTACTTCTTCTCCCCTTCCTTTGAGCAGAATTGTGGTAGGGAGGGTTGCACATCCCTTTCCATTACAGGGCAGAAGAGAAGGAGAGGAAAGAATGAATTCCTGGGTGGCTCTTCTGTGGGACTTTGCTGCAACAGATCAGTCTTCTTAGTTCAAAGCAGTTTCATTTCAGAGCACTGTACAGTAAATGTTCAGCTGCGCAACCAAGAACTAATAAATTCCAGGCATGTAATGGAAGCCATGCCAAATGTGAAGTTGACGACATCTTGGCTAAACCAATATATCCTAGTAAATAAAGTTTTAATGACTGCTGTGGTTTCAACTTTTTCATCCAGTTGGTGAGACAGTTATAGTTCCATGGGAACCAATGCAATAAAGATCTTGCTATTGGTAAGACAAATTAGGGAACAGATACGGCAAGTTAGTAATGGCCTATGATTTTGTTATGATAATGACACATTGAGAAACATCCATTTAGATTTCCTGAAAGTGGATTTGGAGACCAGAGTAAGGATTGCTCAATTAAGTATATCAGTGTTGGAAAATTAGAATTTTAATAAAAAACAAAATATCATTTGCACATATGGGAACATTATGACTGTGGCCATTGATTTAGATATCAGGCATTTTGGGTTTGAGCTAATCGTGTTAGCCAAGGGGTCTCTGAAATAACAAAGAAAGTTGGAAACCCTGTTTGGTGCCTTGCGAGAGTTTAAGAGGTTTTGAGTCTAAACCAGGTATGGGCGAACTTGGGCCCTCCAAGTGTTATGGACTTCAACTCCCATAATTCCTAACAGCTTCAGGCTCTCTCCTTAAATGGCTGAGGGGGAAAAGGAAGGTGCCCGAGGCTGTTAGGAATTGTGGGAGTTGAAATCAAAACACATGGAGGGCCCAAGTTTGCCCATGCTTGGTCTAAACCATTCACTACACTGATAGCTTCTGATTAATCATAAAGGCAATATTTTAGGCCTAAATTTAATTTCTTGCAATATATCAAACAGAGGTTTCCACTCTGACCTGTCAAAGCTTTAAGTGCATCTAAGGATAACAAACCTATTGGGTGCTTAGATCTAAAAGATAGACAGTGCAAACATTATGGTCACTCATCCGGAAGAGAGATGGAGCTGCTGAGAAACGGCTTCCATCAAGTCAAATCTCTTCAAAATTCACTGCAGATTCTGTTGTTGAGTCCTTTCCCCTTCGTGTCAGAAGCAGGCATTGTAGGAGTGGATTCCTGTTCTGTCTCGCACTTTATTGACTGTACTGAGATGCCCCAGTCAAAATCTGATGGGCGATACTGGCCAGCGCAGGGAAGGCCAAACTCTTAGGAAATTCTTGGAAGAGATGCCCGCCTCCTTCCACAATCTGGCTGAGCTGAGGGTCTAAGGGCACGCAACCTACACAGGGGAACAAAATGGAAAAACTTTACAGAAAGTAGAGGATTTGAAGTGTAGAAATGACATGAGTTGTACAATTCACACTGCAACACCATCCAAAGCCGACCCCTCATTGGTCCACTGTGTCTTTCTTATTTGTAGAATGCTAGATTGATTAACAGAAAAACATTATCCCTGACCTATTATCCCACTGGGCATGTATTGCAAAGATTGTGCTCTATGAAACTGGTGCATGCATGTAGAATCATAGAATCACTGAGTTGGAAGAGACCTCCAACCCCCTGCCAAGAAGCAGGAAAATTGCCTTCAAAGCACTCCTGACAGATGGCCATCCAGCCTCTGTTTAAAAGCCTTCAAAGAAGGAGCCCCCACCACACCCTGGGGGAGAGAGTTCCACTGCTAAGCCGCTCTCATGGTGAGGAAGTTCTTCCTAATATTCAGGTGGAAACTCCTTTCCTGTAGTTTGAAGCCATGGTTTTGTGTGCTAGTCTCAAGGACAACAGAAAACAAGCTTGCTCTCTCCTCCCTAGGACTTCCCCTCACATATTAGGTTTCTGCACAGCAGCAGGTGAGGTTGAGGGGTGTGTGTGTGGGGGGGGGGGATTGCAGAGAGTCATAGAAACCTATGTGTTGATTTGTTGGCAAGTCACACTTTCTCAGACACAGAAGAAAGCAACGGTCAACTTCATCTGAACAAATCTTGCCATCATAGGTTCACTAAGGATCACTGTAAGTTGGGAACCACCTCAAAGGCCAATTTCAAGATGGAATAGCCAGGATGAAGAATGGATGAAGATGGAGGCCCAGAACAGATGGAGGCCTCAGCAACAGAAAAATAAAGTTTTGCCATAGTGTAGAGTCCTTTCTACAGTCAAGTAGCTTTTGGATGAAAATCGACTATATTGTGCATTGTCCAGCACCACACCGAACTACTCTCCTGAGTTCTCAGTCTGCCGTAGGAGGATCATCTGGTAGTATATGAACAGTATATAGCAGTATAGGGCCGGGCTTTAGCACAGCAGGCTAACCACCAGCTGCAATAAATCTTGCCAACCAAAAGGTTGGTAGTTCGAAGCTCGGGTCAGGGGTGAGCGCCCGACCTTCAGCCCAGCTCACTACCCACTTAGCAGACCAAAAACAGCGGTGAGTAGATAAATAGTTACCGCTTAATTGAACCAAAAGGAAATACCAAAAAATGCTGGTGATTCGATCAAAAAGGAGGAGGTCTGTGGACAGGGCTCTTCGACATGGAGGATGGAGCGACAGCCCGCCCCCATGGCCGGAATTGAGCACAACCTCCAAGACGCTGAAGATGGGAAAAGCCTATATGTCTCTACCTGTACTGTTATCCGTCCTGTCTGTGTATAACAGTATTGAACATTTGCCGTATATGTGTTCTATGATCTGCTCTGAGCCCCTTCGGAATGGGAAGGGCGGAATATAAATACTGTAAATAAATAAATAAATAAATAAATGGATTGTCGGCTGCATGCATTCATAAGTGGCTACTCAAAGAATTGCAATAAGAGGCAAGCAAAATGGGATTCTGGCTAACTTACTTACCTTAAGTGGGAATTATGTGTTAGAATTGAGAAAAACACAGAATGGCTAAAGAGAATATCAGCATGTACTAGAAGTCCCAACACTACCACTTGCCATTTTGACTTTTAAAAAAATGTGTCACGGTATCATTAAGGTACTCACCAAGGAATGGCACTCCAGCATGTTCAGCCAGCTCTTGTCCGCCGCCTTTGGAAAAGAGATTTGTGCATTCCTGGAATAAGACAGGAAGCTTGATTTCAGAGACAGGTGAAAGTAGAAACTTTATGGAGAGAATAGAATCTGAGGAATTGTGGTCCTCCAGAGTTTGCTGGATCACAGATGCCAAAATCCCTAATAATTGGTGATATGAAAAGTGTTGAAATCTGTTGACATTTAGAGTGCTAAGGTTTACCATGTCTGAGGTGAATAATAAGGAGTTAATGAAGGATGCTTTGAGGATATTGCATTACACTATGTAACACATTTTTTGTTCCTGGGTTATAAATGTCATTTCCTAAGTGGTTCTATCAGGGCCGGGCTGTAGCACAGCTGGTTAATCACCAGCAGCAATAGATCACTGACGACTGGAAAGTGGCAAGTTCAAAGCCTGAGTTGGATTGAGCACCAGACTGTTAAGCCTAGCTTACTGCCCACCTAAGCAGTTCAAAAACAGCTGAGTGGTGAGTAGAGAAATTAGGGACCGCTTAAAGCGGGGAGGTATTTTATGATAACATAAATATGGCAGCGATCAAAGAACAAGGAGGAAATACGATCAAAATGACTCGGCATCATAGTGGATGAAGCAACAGCACCCCTTGTGGCCGGAATCAAGCACAACCTCCGGGCACTAAAGTTTGAAATGCCAAAAATGCCTGTCTGTCTGTCTTAAAAATGGCACTGAATGTTTGCCATGTATGTGTGCATTATGATCCACCCAGAGTCCCCTTCAGGGTGAGAAGGGCAGAATATAAATTCTGCAAATAAATAAATAAATAAAATCATAGAAATATGGAAAAAGTTTATGAAACTACAAAAACTTTGTCTTTGCAGGAGGGACATCCTGCAGCACATTTTGCTCTAGGTTTTCATCTAATCATTGAGTCTCAAGCAATTCAACCTAGTTTGTGTCCGCCACAAAAACAAAGTTTCTGGAGTGGAACAACTACCTTCAAAGTAAGGAATGCACAACTAAACAGGAAATAATATTTTTAAACCAGGAACAACATTTTTCAAATGCCATTACATAGTGTTTATCACAGTATTCTCATTGTGATGGTTCTTTTGCAATCATGGGGAATGAGAGTTTTCAAAGTGGATGTTGTTTTTTGAAAGAGTAGAACAGGTGCCTCCACGGTGAGTGATGACTGAGAAAAACAGGATGTAAAAGGACAGAGAAAGCAGATTCGTTTTTCAGAAGGCACGAATGTGACACTGGAATATTACATGGAAGGGAAAGGAAGGAAAAGGAGGCAGCTTTCTATTAGCAACTGGAAGTCCTGCCCAAGTGGGAGAACACAAACTTCACCAAGAAAATGCAAGTAGAAAATCAGCAATGCAAAAAAAATGGATTTGACGAACCAACCTGGACACAGCATATTATTTGAGAACACAGACATGCTGGACCACTCAAACAATGATCATGTCAGACTACATAGAGAAGCCATTGGAATCCACAATCATGTGGACAATTTCAACAGAAAAGAGAAACCCATGAAAATGAACAAAATCTGGTTACTAACATTAAAAGTTAGTATCAGAACAGTAAATAAAGAGCAACACTAAAAAAACAGGGCAATTCCAGACAGGAAACAATCAGGGCCAGCTAATACCACCCGACAAAGGATTCCCCCAGGCACCAACCAGCCAGGCTTTGAAGCTGCAAGACCGTTCACTGCTAATCAAGGTGGCCAATTGCAACATTCAGACTTGTCTCAAACATACAAGAGTTCTTTCTCCCACCCTGGACACTATTCTACAGGTATATTAAACCCCACTTGTCTAGTTTCCAACAACCTCACAACTGCTGAGGATGCCTGCCATAGATGTGGGTGAAACGTCAGGAGAGAATGATTCTGGAACATGGCCAGACAGCCCAGAAAACTCACAGCAACCCCCCCCCCCCAAAAAAAAAAGGAGTTTGAGGAGCCTACTACTAATAGCCTCAAGACCAACAATAAATAATTCCAGTAGCAGGGAGATGCACAGGGAGGCAGTTGAATTGTTAGGAGAATTCTGAAAGAGGATAAGGAAACAAGATAAGGGTAAGATGCAATCCAGTTTCATTGCTGAAAACAGAAGGGAAATATTAAATCTAGAATTGTTTCTAAGAGGAGAGCAAGAAGACAAGTAATTAAGAGAAGAGACAATTTACCCACAAACAACTCATAATATTTTGAGAGTGTTCTTTAAAACCTCACCAATGAAATTGCTTACCTTCAAACCAAGATATCTATCACTCTCCTCAAATCAAGCCCTTTTACCAGAGGACAGGACAAAGCCAACATAACACTGATTTCCCAAATCTGGATCAAATAAATTATATGTCATTTGGTTTAAATTTGACAAAAGACTACAACTAAAGTAGACTGTTGCACAAAGTTCAAGCACGTTCTACTCCCTCCAAGTTGGAAAAATCTGCATTCTTATTGGTTAAAGTTGCATGTGAAGAGCTTGGATTGGCAGCTGCCTCTCACCGAACAATGTGGGCAGACAAAGCTGCTCATGTTCTCCACAATTCCAAGGACTCGCAATCCAGTCTTCTTGCAGAATGTCAGTTCTCGCCTCACATCTCCCACAGAAACTGCCTGTAAGAAGAACAGAGTTAAATGTGTTAAGGTTTTTTGGGGGGCAGGGGGAGGCCAGAAGCACAAGCCAGTTTGTTTGGTAGTAGAAGAGAGTCAAGTAAAGTTTGCACTGAAGGGTATGGACAGGTAAGTAATCCTCACTATGCAACTGTCCCAAGATTTCCCACAAAGTACAGGAAGACCACCTGGTGGCACTTTTGATATCTCAGAAACAAGGTAGACAGGAGTGTAGATGGGTCTGAAGCCAATGTTTCCAAATGTCCTGAATCCTCAGGAGGAGAGATGTTTCCTTTGTAGTATGGCTTCTTAGAACAGTGTGGTTAGCCCTTTACAGACACAGGAGGCTATGCTAAAAGGCACATGGTGTGGTCAAATCTAGAAAGCATAGGCAGTTCCTAATTGGTTCTGTCATAAAAATTGCCAATAATGGAATAATAATGAAATGTTGAAAGTTTTGGGTTGTTGTAGGTTTTTTCGGGCTATATGGCCATGTTCTAGAAGCATTCTCTCCTGACATTTCGCCTGCATCTATGGCAAGCATCCTCAGAGGTAGTGAGGATGTTTTAAGTGTTTTTGCACTACAAATAAGATATATGCAATGTGCACAGGAATTCATTCATGTTTTTTTCAAATTATAATCCGGCCCTCCAACAGTTTGAGAGACTGTGACCTGGCCCTCTGTTTAAACAGTTTGAGGACCCCTGATTTAGAACAGGGGTCCTCAAACTAAGGCCCGGGGGCAGGATGCGGCCCTCCAAGGTCACTTACCCGACCCTCGCTCAGGGTCAACCTAAGTCTGAAATGACTTAAAAGCACACAACAACAACAATCCTATCTCATCAGCCAAAAGCAGGCCCACACTTCCCATTGAAATACTAATAAGTTTATATTTGTTAAAATTGTTCTTCATTTTAATTATTGTATTGTTTTTAAGTGTCTTTTGCACTACAAATAAGATATGTGCCGTGTGCATAGGACTTCATTCATGTTTTTTTCAAATTATAATCCAGCTCTCCAACAGTTGGAGGGACCGTGACCTGGCCCTCTGTTTAAAAAGTTTGAGGACCCCTGATTTAGAACCATGGATTGCCCATACCTAATAGTTTGTTTTCTAGACTTCCATTCAGATTCTTTTCCCCCCTCTGATTAATGTTTTTATACCTCCAAAGTTCTTGATCACCAAATCAGCAGGATCCTGGGCTTTCTAAGGTTATGTAAATGGAGCATAAACTTTGGAAGGTTCTATCAAGATGGGATTCAAGTACAGTTCAAATAACAGATGACAGGTGTAAGATTTGAGGATCAGCTTCACTATGTACAGAAGCTCTCTGAAGCTCTAGGTGCTCTTACTGCCTAATACAAGGAAAACAAGCTGATTCCTAATCCATCTAAAATGCAGATGTGTGTTTTTCATTTTAAGAACAGACAAGCATCTTGAGCTCTGAGGATTACCTGGGAAGGAATCCCACTAGAGCATTGCAGCACACCCAAATACCTGGGAGTCACTCTGGACCATGCTCTGGCTTATAAGAAGCGCTGCCTGACTATGAAGCAAAACGTGGGTGCTAGAAATAATATCATATGAAAGCTGACTGGCACAACCTGGGGATCACAACCAGATACAGTGAAGACATTTATTTATTTATTTATTTATTTATTTATTTATTTATTTACAGAATTTCTATCCCGCCCATATCAGCCCGGAGGCGACTCAGCCCTTGTGCTTTGCTACTCTGCTGCTGAATATGCATGCCCAGTGTGGAATACATCTCGCCATGTTAAAACAGTGCATGTGGCTCTTCATGAGACATGACACATTATCACAGGATGTCTATGCCCTATGCTGCTGGAGAAATTCTACTGTTTAGTCAGTATCGCACTACCTGACATCCATTGGGAAGTAGCAGCCAGTAATGAAAGGACCAAGGTATTGACATCTGCCCATCCTCTGTGCGGATATTAGCCAGCAAGCCAATGCCTTAAATCAAGAAATAGCTTTCTAAGATCTACATAGATACTCGCAGGAATGCCTCAGCAAGCAAGAGTTCAAAAGTGGCAAACTAAAACTCTGAATCTTAATCAGTGGCTGAGACTGGATGAGAAACTCCCCCCTGGGCACACTGAAGGCTAGGCGACTTGGAAGGTGCTAAACAGACTGCGCTCTGACTGTGCCGTCGCGCCTGGGGATATTATTCTCAATAAAGGAGGGATGGACGTGGCATCTTTCCCCCAGGGGATTGCTTCTTGCCCTCCTATAGGAAACTGGAACTTTCAAGAACCCAAAATGCTGTGGATAACTCAAAATAAGTTTTATTTATCACAAAGTCATTTCTTTAAAGCATTGAGCTGGAAAACTTCAGAGAGGTGAAGGAAAATATACGTTACAGTCTTAACTAGTCCTGGGTCCAAGGTGTTTGAAGCTGAGAAGCCTCACCAAGTTTCCTCTTTCCTCAATGGCTGTGAATGCCGGAGCAAACCACAGCCCCAGTTCAGATGGCCTATGTTTTGAAGACTCAGGATCTTCCTTTGGTGCCAAAAGAACCGGTTTGAAGGCGCTTGGGTCTCCTCAATGTTGTCCAGGACGATCTGGACATAAAGCATGAGCCCCAAGGGTAAAAAACCTCAGAGTTGATGCTAAGAGGTAACTTAAATCAGGGTCCTTTAGAGTCAAGCCTTTTACTCACGTCCATATGGTAGGAACTCTGATGGCAGAATGAAAAGAAATGGAAGCTCTCCCCTCCTGCAGGAAGGGGTGGAGCCAAACAGTACTGATTGACAGCTATAAGTAACCAATCCATACAACTATACATAAGCAGGGTAAAAGGGGCAGGATTAAGCATGATACAACACTTTAAACCTTGCAACTATCAGTTTTACACATAGGTGGCGCCACTTGCGCCGTCACACTGGCACCACAAGATGCAAAGCTAACCTTAAGAAATGGGGCTACAAAGTGGAGTCCATGAGAAGAGCAAACCACAGACCACCCACTACAATGCAACCTGAGCCCTGCCACATGCACAATGTCGGACCTTCTCACAGTAACATCAGAGGCACTTTAAGTAGCTAGCTTCTGATCAAAGAAAATTTAGTATTAGCAAGCTTTTAACTTTGTTTGTGGATTTTGTATGCATTAAAACTATTCTCAACTCACTTCTGACATGATAAATTAATACTTTGTACAGAAAGGTCCATCCCAAAAAAGGTGGCCAGAAGATAATCAACAGACTACTCTGATTCCATTGATCAACTCATCCCTGTTATTTAGCATCAAGACTAGAATTGCTCGTCCCCTTATCCCTATCTCTACCTCTATGAAATAGGGTATTATCTGCACTCGGTTTTAAGGGTTTTAAATGTTTGTTTTTAATACTGTCAATATTAAATTCTATTTTAATGTTAGCATATTTTAGAGTTTTAAATAATAATGTATCAGATTTACTGTAAGCCGCTTTGAGTCTCTCTCTCTCTCTCTCTCTCTCTCTTTTTGGTGAGAAAAAGCAGGATGTAATAATGTATTTCTCCATTCATGTGTACCAATATAATCAATTTTGGCTACTCAATAAAGCAAGCAAAGGTATTAAAGGAAGCAATAGTGCAGAAACCAAGACAGAGGGACGTACCTGTGGTGTAGTGACCAGAACTGCTCCCAAAGGATTATAAGGCCGAAGAGCTTCTACAATGGCCATGTGCTCATCAGAGGTTCCGGGAGGTGTATCTACAATCAAGAAGTCAAGCTCTCCCCAGGCGACATCAGAGACAAACTGCTTGATCAAAGCTGTAAAACAGATACACATCACTGAATGGAAAATGCATAATTTTGAACAAGAGCGCAGGAGAATCTAGAAAACATTCTTGAGATTTGCATCTGGAGATGTTTCCTGTATGAACCTGCCTGAACCTTAAAATCTTTGGAAGTGTACCTTCTTGTCTGCACTACCAGTATCAGGTATTTATTGGTGGGAAAGCTTGGATAAGTTGCCTTTTTGGAGTATCAGGATTCCCTTAGCAATGTCAATTCAGGGGTTCTAATAGAAGCGATACTCTAAGGACTAGATGTATGAACTTTACAGAAATATTCGGGTTTTTAGAGGTCAGGCTTGCTATTGTGGAAGATCCCAAGCTATATTGTCCTGATCTCTGTAAGCCGGAGAATTTCTGATTTTATTTCTGAAAAGTTCATGCTTTCAGCTCTTGTAGTAGAGCTACAAAACAAAAATGTAAAATACCCAGTCTGAAGTTGGGGCAAAGAAGCAATGGAGAGGTGCACCCAACTTCTTGGTCCTTCCATGCGCTATCCCTGGATTTCATTCCATTATTTTCTGTCCCTGTTGAGATGACCTTCCTATCACAAAGAGTTATTTCTTTCAGACTACCAAAGCCCAAAAAAGTTTTTCGTACCATTTTTCTTTGGTCCTCTCCAGACCACAGCATCATCTGACTTCTCCAGAAGGAAGCCAATGGACATGAGGGCAATGTTCTTGTCTTGGCCAACATAGACGGGCACCCAGCCGCTGTCGCACTGGTGAACTTCGTGGTCTTGGGCATTGAGCATGTAAGGGGTGCTGGGGCCACAGAGGTCTACATCCAGGATCCCAACCTGGATTGAGATATATAGGCAAGACAGGCCCTTTTCAAAAGCTGTGCAAAATCCATTACCAAGACAGAGCCAATATCTACTAGAATGGCTGTTGTTAACCCAAAGGATAAACTTGAACTCCATTACTGCCATACTAATTTTACCAGAGTGAAGGTAGACCAGGTATAGGCATACTTTGGCCCTCCAGGGGTTTTGGACTTCAACTCCCACAATTCCTAACAGCCTACTGGCTGTTAGGAATTCTGGAAGTTGAAGTCCAAAACCCCTGGAGAGCCAAAGTTTGCCCAAACCAACATTTTCAGGGCACATTTCTCATTGCTCACCTATGTTCATTATTACCGTATATTCCGGCATATAAGACGATTGGGCGTATAAGACGACCCCCAACTTTTCCAGTTAAAATATAGAGTTAAGATGACTCCCATGCATAAGACTACACCCGCATATAAGACGACCCCTGACTTTTGAGAAGATTTTCTTGGGTTAAAAAGTAGTCTTATACGCCAGAATATACTGTACATACCAAGCACTCAAGCTGGGTGTGCTGTTACACCCAGACGCTTTTAAAGACAAAACAATGATGTGCTGTTCCCTATGTCTGGGCGAACTGCCGGTGCTTTTCTTGAGAAGACTGAGATTCTCAGTAACCGAGTCTATTACAAGTTCTGAACATCAAAAAAGATATTTATTTCTCAAAGTTGCAAAGTTGCAAAAAGTTGATAAACCAAATAGATATTTCTTTTTTCTCTTCTCCACCAGTTAGCAGGCTCGCTTTTCCTGCCTTTGGCTGTTAAACTCCAGGCTTTGCAAGGCTGCAGCAGCTCCTGAGAGAAAGGCAAGGGGCAACAATTCCAAGCAACTAAAAAAGCAATGCAAACCAGTCTCCTGCGAGACGGAACACTGGGACCATCACAAGCTGCATTAGAAAAGGTTGGCAAACAAATTGTATTCTAGTCTTGATGATGGTCTATATTAAGATATAGACCATAATAAGCAGAACTTGAAAGAAAAAGGAGCAGTACAGCACATTCTTGTTCAATGCTCTAGAGAGAAATGCTTCTTCTAAGATACTCTGATTCTTTCTCACTGTGGGCCCCTCTCTTGCCCTGACATCCATGCTCAATCAGCATGCCCAGTTCTCATTTGAGAGTGTTGTTGTTGTCATTATTATTATTATTATTATTATGGTCAGTCATGAGGCTGCTCAGGATATTGGGTGGCAACCTGTGCTTGTCAGGGTTACACTCCCCCTGAAGACACAGATCTGCAGCTTGGGGGTCCTCCAGAACTCAGCACTGATGCTAGATGCCCAGGTGTCGGCGGTGGCCAGGACGGCCTTTGCACAGTTAAAGGTTGTGTGCCAGCTGCGACCATGCCTTGAGAAGTTAGACATGGCCACAGTGGTCCATGCCTTGGTTACATCCAGTTTGGAATATTGCAATGTACTCTATGTGAGGCTGCCTTTGAAGATGGCCCGGAAACTGCAATTGGTACAAAGGTAGGTGGCCAGGCTTCTAACTGGAGCTTATTGTATGGAGTGCATGATGGGGAGGCCCTCCTCTGCCAGGGAGGCCCTCGTCTCACTTCTGCCACTGTCACAAGTATGGTTGGTGGGGACGAGGGAGAGGGCCTTCTCAGTGGTGGCCCCCTGATTTTGGAACACACTCTCCAGGGAGATTAGGCAGGCCCCACATTGTCCACTTTTTGTAGAGACTTGAAAGCCTGGATGAATTAGTCCCGAGGCCCAATCCCTACGTCATCAGTTAGTACTCAGTTCTGCACTTTCTCCACTTCCCCGTCCCTATCATTCACTGTTTGCACTATCACTTGCTCAGCCCTTTTATAGTTGGCCATGCCCATTTTGTAGTCCTGGCCATTGGTTTTTGTTGATCCTTGTCTGATAGAATTATAATTGCAATCAGTTTAAATTTTTATTGTTGTGTTTTAGTAGGATGTTTGTGTTTTATGATGCTTTTAAAAAAATGTCTGTATGATTTTCTTCTTGACAATTGAAAGTTTTGCCTTACGTGTTGGGAGATTTCAACATCCATGCCGAGGCCTCTCTTTCTGGTGCGGCTCAGGACTTCATGCCCGCCATGGCAACCATGGGCCTATCCCAGCTAATATCTGGTCCCACCCATAGTGCCGGACACACCTTGGATTTGGTCTTCGGCCAGGGATGGGATGAGGGTGACGGGATGGAGGAGCCGACCATCGCCCCATTGCCATGGACCGATCACCACCTGATCAGATTTAGACTAACTGTGCCTTCTAACCTCCGCAGGGGTGGTGGACCCATTAGAATGGTCCGCCCCAGGAGACTTATGGATCCAAATGGTTTCCTGACGGCTCTTGGGGATTTTTCCACCTCCTTGGCTAGCGACACTGTCGATGCTCTGGTCTCTCACTGGGACAGTGAGTTGACCAGGGCAATTGACACAATCGCTCCGGAACACCCCCTCTCGAGTAACCGAGCTAAACCAGCCTCTTGGTTCACTGAGGAGCTGGCAGCGATGAAGCGAAAGAAGAGGAGGTTAGAGTGTGGGTGGCGCCAGAATCCCACAAATCCAGCCCAAACACACCTGAATGCCTTCTTAAGGTCCTATGGTGTGGCAATAGTGGCGGCTCAGAAAACATTCATTACAGCCAATATTGCATCTGCGAAGAATCGTCCAGCTGAGCTTTTCCGAGTTGTCAGGGGCCTGTTAAATCCGCCGAAAAGCGAGGCCTCGGATAACTCGGTGGCTCGCTGTGAAGCATTTGCTCAATTTTTCGCGGATAAAATTGAGCGGATTCGGTCGGGTTTTGACGTCATGTTAACGGCAGTCTCTGGGGATGTAACGAGAACATCTGCTTGTCCAGTTTTGTTGGATTCTTTTCAATTGGTTCAGCTTGAGGATGTGGACAGGATCCTTGGAGAGGTGCGACCTACCACATGCATCCTAGACCCCTGCCCATCCTGGCTGATAAAAGAGGCCAGAGGGGGGTTGGCAGAGTGGGTGAGGTGATGGTTAATGCCTCCCTACGGGAAGGAAAGTTTCCAGAGAGCTTAAAAGGTGTTGGCACTTCCTGGTCAGATTTAGGCTCACTGCGCCCCCTAACCTCTGCAGAGGTGGAGGACCCATTAAGTTGGTCCGCCCCAGGAGGCTTATGGATCCGGACGGATTCCTGTTGGCTCTTGGGGATTTTCCCGCCACCTCGGTAGGTGATTCTGTTGATGCCCTGGTCGCTCTCTGGAATGGGGAGATGACTAGGGCAATTGACACGATCGCTCCGGAACGTCCCCTCTCAAGTAGCCGAGCTAAACCAGCCCCTTGGTTCACTGAGGAGCTGGCAGCGATGAAGCGAAGGAAGAGGGAACTAGAGAGTGTGTGGCGATCGGATCCGAGCGAGCCAAATCGAACACGGTTTGTGTCCTTCTTAAGGGCATATGCCGCGGCAATAAAAGCCGCAAAGAAAACTTTCTTTGCGGCCACTATTGCGTCTGCAAAGAACCGTCTGGCTGAGTTGTTTCGGATTGTCAGAGGCCTTTTAAATCCCGCCACCTTAGGTGGAAGCCCTGACAATTCGGCATCTCGCTGCGAAGCTTTTGCCCGGTTCTTTGCAGACAAAGTCGCTTTGATCCTTTCTGGTCTGGACACCATATTAAGGGCAGTCTCTGAGGACGTAACACGAGCACCTGCTTGTCCTATTTTGATGGATTCATTTCAATTGGTGAAACCCGAGGATGTGGACAAGATACTCGGAGGAATGAGGCCTACCACGTCCATCCTGGACCCCTGCCCATCGTGGCTTCTAAAGGAGGCCAGAGGGGGATTGGCTGAGTGGGTTGAGGTGGTGGTTAACGCCTCCCTTCGGGAA